GTAGGGGCGTGTTTGTTTTGGTGATTTCAAATATAAACATTGGCTACCAGAAATCCCTCACTCTGCCTTTAAGTCCTAAGATCAATCGTTATTGAGAAACGCAGCCCAGGACAGTTCATAGGATAGTTCAGCTTTGAGAATGAAAACCAACCTGTTTGTTCTTCATCTTTGACCGTGAACGTTTCTTCGATCCTTATGTCTTCACTCTCTTCTTTAATAAACGCCATCTTTGTTTGTGTCTCAGTATCTTCATGTTTGACTCTGAATGTTTCTTCAATCAAAAAAAGAAAAACATTTAATCTCTGGGTGCGTCTCAATCAGCTCCCTAGTTCAGTAGTCAGCACACTAGTGAGGAAGTCAGTGTGATAGTTAATGGACTAAAATGATCCGATTAAACAAACATTTAAATCTTTAACTTGCTTTAAAGTTTTAATTAACATTAGGTATTTAATGATAAGTATATTTAATCAATTCCACGTTTAAAATTTGCTATTGTACTTTCAGCTTGACATTACAAAAACACATTAGCAGTTGTTTGTAAAAGGTTTCATTACACATGTTTGTTGTTCTCGTTGCATTTGCACTGTTTTGAGCAGCAGGTCTCTTCAGCGCGCGGTGATTCAAAAGTGATTCAAAACAGTGAATCATTTTGTGAAGCAACTGACTCGGAGTTTCGAAAGATCTACACAGGGAGCGACATCAGACGCACTTTATCTGTTACTAATGTGTGGATGCGCTTTACTCACAAAATAACCTGCATTAATATTAGATAAAATATTACAATGTTACACTCAATAATTATCAACTTTGCATCGCTTGTAAACACTATAAAATAGACTGAACGCGTTTGTATGAATTCAAACACTTTAAATGATTAAGACCACAAACCTTTCTTCAGCTGAAACACAGACGCAGGAGCGCGGCGCAGCCTTATGACGTCATGCCACCAGATCAAAATAAAAGTCCTGTTCACGCGCTGCTGCGTCTACAATCCAGAAAGTGCTTAGATAGTTACATAAAGGAAACACATTCGAATAATAAAACATATGTCAGCGGTATTTAGAGTTTTATTAAATACATATTGAAATACATACAAAGAAAAAATTACAAACATTTACAAATTATAATATTTGTATTTCCTTATGTATTATGATATTTTTCCAAATTGATTTATTCATTCGTTCGTTCATCCAATCATGCATTTATGATGACATTTATTTCCACAATTATTTCTTTTAATGTTTATTTATACATTTACTTAATTTCATATTTTTCATATTTTTTTTGTCGCTCTGTAAATCCGTTGCTTCTCCTAGGGATAGCTTTTCACTTCTTTTAAATGTTGCTTTAAAGGTCCCATGGCATGAAAATTTCACTTTATGAGGTTTTTTAACATTAATATGAGTTCCCCTAGCCTGCCTATGGTCCCCCAGTGGCTAGAAATGGCGATAGGTGTAAACCGAGCCCTGGGTATCCTGCTTTGCCTTTGAGAAAATGAAAGCTCAGATGGCCCAATCTGGAATCTTCCCTTTATGTCGTCATACGGGGAAAGGTTACCTCCCCTTTCTCTGCTTTGCCCGCCCATGAGAAAATGAGCTACTACAGTGCGAGGCGAGTGCAATATTTTTTTTTCCTCGAGAGACATCATGGCTTGCAAACGAGCGAAGCATGGCAGTTGCTCAGTGTTTGGATGTACAAATGAACACCGAAGTATTTTTTTAGTTCCTTCATCCGAGCCTATGAAGAAACAGTGGGTTAATTTTATTTTCTCTGGTAATGCGCCGACACAACTTCCCAAAGTTTTGTATGTCTGCGCCAAACATTTCACCGACGACTGTTTCCTCAACTTGGGCCAATACAGAGCTGGCCTTGCTGAACGTCTGAAAATAAAGTCTGGATCAGTACCAACTCTCCTTGGCTCAGCTACAAACCTCGGACTATAAAAGCATCCAAAAAGCAGCATGTCATGGGACCTTTAATGTTGTATGCTTTAAATGTTGCACTTCTTTTAAAAGCGGCGTGGTTGCTGGAAAATGTGCAAAACAAACTCACTTCCCGTTCTCATTCGTCACCAATCCAAATGTGCGCGCTTTGCGCTTTTGACCTTGACTGCTCTACTGTATATAAGTCGCCTTGGAAATTGCAGCATGTTTCAGATGATAAAAAAACGACAAATTATTTTCACGTTTTTCCCATGAAATTACAGTGTCTGTGAGCAGGAGGATAACACTGTGTCCTAACTATACGCGACACATGATAAAAGGTATATTTTCCATGTTAATCAGAGGTTTTGTCCTAACAAGCCGCGATATTGTTGGTTGTTTACGCCATCGTAAAACTATTTTCAAATACCATTTACACGTTTAGCCTATTAACATCGTACCTCGCACTCGGTTTCTGTGAACAGTAAGGTCTGCCTTCCTTTATTTGATTGGTCATCTCAATGATTTTGACATTGACATGAGCACTGAGGCAGACCATAATTAAATTTTAATTTAAAATAAATAAAATGCAAAAGTATTTACTTTTACCTTATGGAAGAAAACACTATATTTCTTACAGTCGAGCTGACTAACTTTCATCGCACAAGCTCTAATTTCAGTGTTGTTTTAATTCAGTTTTTAATTCTTACATTCAGCATTAACAGCAAGTCAAAAGGGGTAAGCTTTCAAATACATGCATTTTAAACGCTTATATTATGTTTTTGCCCTGTCATTGCAATGAATGCATGTAATTGAATGAGCTGGGTTTTCTAGAAAATTAATTAAACTGCTCAGATCATTTCAGTGGTAGGCTATGATACATATTTATGTCTTAAACTCTTCGTAACTTGCAAACTCCTCATGATAGTGAGCAAATTCTGCCCGTTTTCGCTCATTGTCAGCCTCTGCTTTTCCACAACAGACTGAAGATCTCCGTGAGTGTAGCATGCCTTTGCTTTCAGCTAATAAAAAATGCTGCAATTTTGTGATGTTATTTTCTGATTGCTGGGCCAGTCTCCAGCTATTCTTAAACTTCTCAAAATACAATCCACTTCAGAATTGTTTTAATCACTGCACAAAATATATTCCTAAGAATAATTTTTTACGCTACCTCCAAATTCATGACTTTGTGCGTAAAATGTTCCCTCAGTTCCCTGCTCCACCTCAATGTTCTCAATTTTATCATTTATTGAAGGACCCTCCAAGATGGAAAGGCATTATTCGACACCTTACTGTACAATTTTGACCCCACTCTATACATCCCTCTCCCAAATAAAAGCTTTGTGGGAAGACGACTTAGAAATGGTTATTTCTGATGAGGACTGGTAATCAGTCTTATATTGTCACGCTGCTGCTAGGAAGATGAAGAGGGAGTCAGACGAAGATAATCCAAAAGCATTTGTATTTTAATAACAAATCCATAAGAAAACAAACACTAGCACACAGGGTACACATATGCAATAACCGACAACTGAATGAACTAAAGAGGTAACTTAAATAAGGTGACTTAAGGCCATGTCCACACGTACACGGGTATTTTACGGGGAGTTTTTCCTTCTTCCATTTTTTAAAAAATCTCCGTTCACATGAAAACGCAAACACATGCTATGAATCACTGTCAAGAGCATGCCAAACCAACAGGTGGCGATATTATCTCAACCGTAAAGCCATGTTGGCCAATCAGAAGCCTGAAAAAGTCTCCAATAGGCGGAGATAACAGCGCAGGCTCCGACGTCACAAGCCAAAAACTCAGGTTTCGCTGTCTACACGATAACACTGCAATCTGAGTTTTTGAAAATCTTCACCCTGGCAGGCGTTTTCAAAAATGTTCAGTTTCAGGGACCTGGTGCTGCGTTGACGTGCGGACGAACGGCCAAACCGTGTAGAAAAAGCTGCGGTTTTTAAAAATAACCATGTTCGTGTGGACAGGGCCTAAATGAGAGTAATACAGGGGATGGTGGTTAACTAAAAATGACTAAACGAGACCAGGAACATAACCAAATATGGGCACACAGGAACTAAACCAGAACAGAAGACAGGAAAACGGCAACTAAAAGAAAACCCAAAGTCCATAACTGTGACATATATAGAATACACAAGTCTTCAGTCTGTGCAAGATATGGACTTCTGCAGTGCAAAGTTGTACATCGTGTACACTGGACAAAGTTGAAACTATCTAAGCACTTTCATCATATAGATCCTGCCTGTGATTGCTGTAGGTTTATCCCAGCCTCTCATGCACATATGTTTTGGTCCTGTGTAAAGCTTAGGGGCTTCTGGTCCACTGTTTTTGAAACTGTCTCTGGTTTTTTTAGGTAAATCGATCTCCCCTTGCCCATTGATAGCCATTTTTGGAATTACTCCCATATCTTCTCCTTCTCCAAACTTATCCTTTCCAATCATCCTACTACCTGTCCGCTTGATCCTATCCCCAATCACCTTTTCCAAGCCAATTCTTCTTCAGTTATACCTGCTCTCACTCACATCATCAACACCTCTCTTCACACTGGCACATTTCCCACAGCATTTAAGCAGGCTAGGATAACCCCACTGCTTAAGAAACCCTCTCTAAATCCAGCACTTTTAGAAAACTACAGACTGGTATCACTTCTTCCATTCATTGCAAAGACGCATGAGTGAGATGTGTTCAACCAACTCTCTATGATTCTTGCACACAACAACCTCATAGACAACCACCAATCTGGCTTCAAAAGCGGCCACTCAACTGAGACTGCCCTGCTCTCGGTTACTGAAGCCCTGAGACTGACAAGAGCAGCTTCCAAATCCTCAGTACTCATTTTGCTGGATCTGTCTGCTGCTTTAGACACTGTTAACCACCAGATTCTCCTGTCCACCCTCAAGGAGATGGGCATCTCAGGAACCGCACTCCAGTGGTTCAAGTCTTACCTCTCAGATAGGTCCTTCAAGCTGTCTTGGAGGGGTGAGGTTTCTAAGTCACAAATTCTTGCTCCTGGGGTTCCTCAGGGCTCAGTGCTTGGACCATTTCTCTTCACCATCTACATGTCATCATTAGGATCTGTCATTCAGAAGCATGGCTTTTCCTATCATTGCTATACTAATGACACTCAACTCTACATCTCATTCCAACCAGATGATCCGACAGTAGCTATTCGCATTGCAGCCTGTCTGACAGACATTTCTGGCTGGATGAAAGACCACCACCTTCAACTCAACCTTGTTAAGACAGAACTGCTCGTGGTCTTAGCCAACCCAGCACTTCATCACAACTACTCTATACAGCTAGGTTCATCAACCATGGTTCCTTCCA